TCTATCTATCTATCTATCTATCTATCTATCTATCATCTATGTGTGTATCTTCCATCTATTTACCTTAAATGTGTGCATGTGTATAGTATAAATATAAACAAACTTGGTTAACAGTATCTTTTGAGAGTAGGAAAGATTACAGAAATGATGAAGAAAGATCATCTACACTCTTGTATTATCTTAATCCTCTGTAAAAGCTAAATTATTCCTACAATTTGGAAGAATTTTAAAGTTTCCTACTTGTCAGAGAATAGAAGTGAGATGGCTTTAAAATAGGAAGTATTGCTTGGTGTAGTGGTACATGCCTACAATCTCAGTACTTGGAAAGTTGAGGTTGGGAGGATTGCCACAAATCTGAAGACAGCCTGAACTACACTGTGAGTTCAAGAGCAGCCTAAACTACACAGTGAGGCCCTGTTTCAGAGAGAGAGAGAGAGAGAGAGAGAGAGAGAGAGAGAGAGAGAGAGAGAGAGAAGCAAAACACAAAACCAGGTATGCTGGCTCAAACCTATAATCCTAGTACTTAGGAGGCTAAGGCAAAAAGATTGCAGTGATTTTGAGGCTAGGCTGAGCTACATAGTGAGCTGACAATCAGCCTGAATTATAGAGCAAGACCATGACTCACAAAACCAAAAATGAAGCCTGGTGTGGTGACATATGCCTGGGATCTTAACACTTGAGAGATGGAGGCAGGAGGATTGCTATAGTTTGAGTTCAGTCTGGGCTACATGGTCATTTCAAGGCCAGCCTGAATTATATAGTTAGACTTTGTCTCAGAAAATCAAATAGCAAAACAAAAACAAAAAAAGAGGGTATACAGGCCTCTGTTCACAAATTTAATTCTTTCCAAGATTCAGATTGCAAACTGAACTGACCAAGAAACAAATTAATTTTTTCCCATAAAAGTCAACACCTTAAACCAGATGTGGTGTGCATGCCTATAATCCTAACACTTGGGAGGCTGAGGCAGGAGGATCACCTCAAGTTCAAGGCCATCTCAGGCTAGCTACACAGTGAGTTCAAGTCAATCTGAACTATAGTGAGACCCTGTCTCAAAAAAAAAAATAGAAAAAAGAAAACAAAAGTCTTAATCCCACTGAAAAAAAACTATAGTTTATTTTAAAAGCTACTTATTATTCTTATTAGATTATTTTATAAAATTTACATGCTGTGGGCTGGTGAGATGGCTCAGTGTTCTAAAGTACCTACTTAGAACAAGCTTCACAAAGCATCAGAGACCGCGGTTCAATTCCCCAGCACCACATGCCAGCCAGCCCCGCCCCCTGGTGGGCTGAGCTGGCCACACACACACACAAATAAATTAAAAAATAAATAAATAAAAATAAAAATAAATAAAAATAAAAAAATAAAATAAAAAGGAAGCATTAAAAAAAATTTACATGCTGTTGTAAAAGTAAAATTTTATTCAGGAAAAGAAAGTGTCTGAAGGTTTGTAACTATTAGGAAAATGGTATTTTATGTAAGACAGACTAACACCCCAAATCCTAAACTATCAGTATTCACTCCATAGCACCTCTTTGTGTCCAGATGCAGTTCTAAGAGCTGGGTCTCTACAGTGAACAAGCAGATGTAGATGTGGTCTCTGACCTGAAGAACAGTACAGATGTATACATCAAACAAAAACACAAACATCTATTTTCTAAGCAGGAGTTCTGTGAAAAGAGAATGTTTTATGTGTAATTTTAGATATGAAAAGCTGGAAAAAACATCTGTAACAAAGTAGACTATAATTTGAGACTCAAAGGGGAGCTATCTTAGTAAAAGGGAATGGGTAGTGCAGGAAGAGTTGGATTTCTGAAGCACCTGAGGTTTAAAACATAGAAACATTAAGAAGTCACAACTACTGATCTATATGCCCAAAGAGAGAGCTTATGAGATGAGGGCTAAGAACAGGACGGATCATAAGATTATAGAGCATACCACAGTAAAGAGTTTGGAGTTTATCTTAAATGCAATCAAAAGCCACCAAAAAAGTCTAGGTAGACAAGCAACAAGCATCAATTTTATGCTTAAAAAGATCCTATTGGCTGTAAGCTAGGGAACAAGAAGGACAGTAGAATGTGTAATCAGGAGGTCACTACTGCAATCCAGTGACCTGGATTAAACAAATAGCTTGTTGACAGATACAAAATTAGCTTTTCTGGATGCTTCTGCAGCAGAATCTCAAGGACCTAGTCAGACACCTTCATTAAGTAGAGAAAGAAACATGTTCAAATTTAGAAACTCTTTTCTGATCACTACAACAATAAATCAAGTGATTCAGAACTCCTTCCATGTTTATGCCAGCATCCAAAAGCCGAACTTCAATTCCTGACCCTTAGCTTCTCATTCCCTATCGTACTGTGGCAGGGCACTGGGACAACCTGCGGGATGAGCATTGCAGGCACAAGAGTGAGCTGCACACTCTAGCTGCATAGCATCTAAGGGAAGTGATTGCTAGATGGTTTTTTTTTTT